CAAAACCAAAGATGGTAAGTTCTCAGATACAGAGGGGCCTCCAATCCACATCCTCTCCATCTTACCAGGGTTCAGCTGAAGCCTGTTGTTCCCCATCCAGACCCCCACAGCCTCCAGGCACTGCAAAAGGGTGGTCACAGCATCACTCAAGTCACCCAGGTTGGAGATGTATAACTGGGTATCATCTGCATATTGATGATACCTCTTCCCATGGTGGCGGATGATCTTACCCAGTGGTTTCATGTAGATGTTAAAAAGGAGAAGAGAGAGTACTGAACCCTGTGGCACCCCACAGTGGAGGTGCCATGGGCTGGATCTCTCCAAATCAACACTGATTGGGCTCAACCTTGGAGGAAGGAAGAGAACCAGCGCAGAACTGTGCCACCCACTCCCAACTCCCTGAGTTGACCCAAAAGGATATCATGGTTGATGCTATAGAAAGCCACTGAGAGGTCAAGAAGAGCAAGGATGGATGCGCTACCTCCATCCTGCTCCCACCAGAGATCATCCATGAGTGCGACCAGTGCCGTTTCTGTCCAAAATCCAGGCCTGAAACTTGATTGGAAGGGGTCCAGATAATCCGTTTCTTCCAGGATCCTCTGGAGCTGCAACACCACCACCTTCTCAACTACCCAGAGGTGGGTGACTGGGCAAAAATTGTCCAGTATGGTGGAGTCCAGTGATGGCTTCTTGAGGAGGGGAAGCACCAGCGCCTCTTTAAAGGCCACTAGAAACACTCCCTCCCTCAAGGAAGAATTCAGCATCACCTGGACCCACTCACATGTCACCTCCTAAGTAGCCTTAACCAGCCAGGAGGGACATGGATCTAGTTGGCAAGTGGTGGCATTGACTGTTCGGAGGACCCTCTCCACTTCCTCAGGATCAGCAGTATCAAAGTGTTCCCTGATAACGGTAAGTCCATATCCTGGGCATCTCTATAGACCATGCTGCATGCTTGGTATCTAATTGGGATCGGATGTAAGCAATTTTATCCTCCAGATGCCCAGAAAATTCCTCTGGGTGGCCCCTGTAAATGGGCCATTGGGCCCCCCTTTCCCAAAAGGGATCAGGTGATCTTAAACAGGACTGCTGGGCAGCATTCTGCAGATGCAGTAAGAACAGAAATGTGATGGAATGGAATTATGAAGGCCAGGCTCAGGGAGAAAAACATTTTCTTACATCTCC